CTTCATCAATTTGTGCACAATTATTGATAAGGGTCAGACCTTTCCTTCACCGTTGTATATAGCATGAGATCAAGAATAAAAATATTGATGGTAATGTCAATATCAAGGAAAGATATTCCTTCACAAAAAGCTCCAATAGCCAACATTTTCATAACTATCAAAAATAAGTTTAAAAGCTCATCTGCTTCTTGCCATTTCACAGGTTCCGCATTGTTAGGCCAGAATTAACTTGGATGCATTGTTAAGCGCTGTCAATGACGTTTTAAAAGAATGATCACTCGATGAGGCTCAATCCATGTCTCGCTTACACGACCAAGGTGACGAAGGACCTGTAATGAAGATGCAGGAGGATTCAATTTTATTCACTCAAGTAATTGAACATAAGTAACAAGGGATGTAAGAGAAAGTGGAAAACAAAGTACAAAAAGGATTTGATTCCTTGTTTTTCAAGTATTAGCAAGCAAATCCAAATTTGATGAACTTAAATTTCTCAATCTTTTCCTAAAAGGATTCTGATGATCATAGCCATCTTACTAGCTTATAAATAACACGAGAATCAGGTTGTTTGTTCAATCATAATCAGTGAATAGAAATTACTTGTTCATTGATGAGTCGATTTTATATTATATATTTAACCTTATTCTTAGTATATTTTGGTTAATACTTTGGAAGAATTTTGATACTTTGAATTATATTTCCAATATAGGACTTTCGACTTCCTCTGGAGCAAAACATAATCAAATGGACGAATTTTGGAGTAATTCCAGTTGGAGGACGTACGTGAGTTACTTAGCTTGATTGTATCAAAATATCAGACTTTTCCACTGAGCGATGATTTCCTGGTGAATAAATGAAGGAGTGATGTGCAATGCTGGAATAGTGACGTTTTGGGCTTATATTGCGTTTTTGGAGCCCAAGATGACCTCAGATGGGTTCGAGGCCTTCTGGAGAAGTGTTCGGAATATTTTTATCTTTAAAATGAGCTATCTTGGGCCAGATTTGGAGGAGATTTGAGACCAAAACGTGGCTGGGCATATTGTGGGCAGATTCTCCTAATCCAATTTGGACTTTATTTCCTAGTCTTATTTTATTTTAACTTAGTTTCCTTGTGAGGATTAGGTTGAGTAACTAATTTCCTTTTGCTAGGTTGAAGCCTTGAACCTTAGCATGAATATGTGATTTTTATTTAATTTCTTATGATTGAGTGCATGCATACTTTAAATTGTTAATCACTGTTTTAAACTATCTAATTGTCTTAATTCTTGATCACCATTAGGATCTTTAGAAAAGTAATTGGATGCAATTTTGGTCGGAAGGTTCCCTGAAATTGATGCTAGCTTCTTGTGATTAATAATTTGAATTTCACTAAAGATGAACACCACGTCTTAAGGGTTGCATGGTTTTTCAAAGGGTTTTTACATAACTTAATGAGTCTTTTATGTTCAGATTTGATCCGAACGTTCGGACGGGTTGCATGTTGGATATACGTTCTATGTTGGAGGTTCCAAGTAAAATATAAATTAGGAAAACCTAACCTTCAAAGTGGCTTGTGCAAATAATAAGTAATTGGTAGAAATTCATAGGATTGCTTGGTGATGGTGAAAACCCAGAGCTTTTATAAATTGGTATTTGAAAATCTTTCCTTCATTCGTAATTGTTTATGTTTCAAATTTATTTTTAGTATCACACAAGTTCATATTAATCTTTCTCTACTTTTAATTTTAGGTAATAAATTGGAAATTGTTTTCACATAAATTGCTAAATAGTCCTTGTGGAGAACGACCTTGCATGAGCATATATACTACAATAGCCTTGTATTCTTGCAAGTATTTTCAGTGATTTTAACCCTGTTTGTACAGGTACTAAAAATCATATCATTCATATCAGAAAGAATTAACCATGTATGCTCGTCGAGAAGCACTTGCTCCTAGAAGAAAAAGAATGACAATAGGGCAAAGACTAAGCAGCATCCATGCGCTCATCTTGTTATCCTTCCTGGGGATGACGTTTGTGGCAATGCTGTGTTTAATTTTCGGATTAATTCACTCTTTGATTTTTACCTAATGATGAGCAAGGTATCGGCTATTGCATCAGCTGGTCTAGTTTTATTTTCAGTTTTCAGATTTGGTTAGGTTTGTTGGACCTTTATATTGTACATTTTTGGGAGACTTTGAAAAAACACAAAGGAGAGAAAAAATTTGTAAAAGAAGCCAAAATGGACAAAATTGCCCTTATTTATTTTTGGATTTCCTAAGAAATTCTTTACATTTGCATGTCTTTGATTTGAAAGTTGAGAGGTTTTTCTGTCTTTTTTGAAAAAGCTTTGGCTTTTTTCAAAAGTGAAATTTTTTTTTGACTAAAACCTAAATTTACTTACATTTTTTGGGCTGCCTCTTGGTTTATTTGGTTTCAATAAATTTACTTTTTTTTAAATTACTTTTTAATTGAAAGACATTTGTGGCGTTTCTCATCCTAAGGTTAGAGCCATTATCTTATAATATTTGAATACTGTTACGTGATATAACTTGTGATAATGCAAGTGGATTAATTACCCATAAATTTATGTCCAGTACAAATACTTGGTTCTATCCATAGGTTATAAATTCATAACTCCAACTCCACCACTTACACTTTATTTTTTATAAAGACAAAGAAAAGGAAAATAGAAAAGAAAAAAAAAATTCACCAATTTTGATAAAAAGGTAGACAGAGTGTTTTCTAGGGCAAAAAAAAATATAAATTTATAAATAAACCAAATCCTAGACATATATTTATAAAAAAACTCAAACACTATTTAAACATAGAAACACACCCAAAATCAACAATTGTATATTTTTTGGGTGTGTTTATAAATGGGTTTTGAGTGTGTGTAATGATGGGTTTTCGGTGTGTTTATAAAGTGTTTTGGGTGTTGGGTTTTTTATAATTTCAGCCCTTATTTTGGGTGTTTTAGTGAAACCCAAAAAAAAAAAACTGATGATTTGGTGTTTTTCTTTATTCCTTACGAATCCTAAACTTATTCTTATAACATCACCACTGGTGGATACTGATTTCCTATGGGGTAGGCAATGGAAATGGGAATACATGGGAAAATCGAATATCGATATTTGTAAATTGTAACTTATAAGAAACAATAATAGAACGTGTGCAAAAATTGTCAATTGGAAAATAAATAGGATTTATTTAAAAAAATATTGACATTGTGAAATAAAGAAATTTGTCTCCGTATAGAATTCAGTTCAGAAGTGTAAACCTAGAAGTGGGTCCACGGCCATGAAATGTGTCATGTCATGTAGAAAACTTCTGTAAAGAACAAGGACACCCAGACAAATGTCATGTCATGTAGAAAACTTTTGTGTGACTCCAAGCTTTCTCCAATATCCCTTAACCCCACCCAACTAATTAAAATAGTGCAGTTATTTTTTTTGGGAGTTTCACTAAAATATTTAAAATGGGGGCTGAAATTATAAAAAAATTGAATACCTAAAATACTTTATAAACACACCAAAAATCCATCATTACACACACTCAAAACTCATTTATAAACACACCCAAAAAATATACAATTGTTGATTTTATGGTTGATTTTAGGTGTGTTTCTATGTTTAAATAGTGTTTGGATTTTTTTATAAATACATGTCTAGAATTGAGTTTATTTATAAATTTGTATATTTTTTTCTCTTTTTTTTAAGATAAACTATATTGCATTGAATAAACTTAAGTAACAATACAATCATATTCTGAATCAAAACAAGAGTTCCTCGAACCAAACCAAATCATGATCAGTTCAGTATCGAGATCAAAACATACCAAACTACGAGCTCAAACGAGGCACATGAGACAACGATGCACTTTGAACCTATCTCAATCCTCATAGATTACACCAAGCAGAGAGAGATGAAATATTACTCAGTTTGAGCTCTAATGTTCCAATATGCCCCACCACTCTCAAACTCTCCAATTTCTCATTGAAGAAAAACTAATTATATGTTGACATGAGAGAAATGAAGTTAAAACAACACCCTTTTTTCCCCTCCTTGTTACAATGTTGAGAAGTTATGATCACCTTTTGGTTCATTTGTTTATTAAGTATGCATTGTGTTAAATTGAATGACTTAAGTCATAGTAATTAGAAAAGGATGAATATGATATGAGTCATGCTAATCTTACCATATATAAAAGTCATGTATCTAACTTTTTATTAATTTATGGTGACTTTGTAAAGAGGAACCCACTATAAACTTCCACACTATGTAAAGACACATGCTCCCTCTATACAATATGTGTATTCATGAGGGAAATGATAAATACTTACGTTGTAAAGACACATACTCAAGTCAGGAGGTCCCAAATATCTACTTTTGATAACTAGAGTGCAATGCATGTGTAGTGATGTAAAATTAGATAAAGGAGAGGGAGGGCACATGGAAATTGAAAACAGGAAAATTGGACTCCTTTGTTTTGCATTTTTCCTTTCCATGTAGTTTTTCTTTTTCTTTATTATATAATTTGTTTCATCTTGCTTTTATTTTATCTTTACTTACTTTTGGTTTTCAAATAATTGTATTTCCAGTTTGAAAAGTTATTATCTTGCTTTTTCTTTTGGTTACTAAACATAAAAAAGTTAGGTTGAATACTTCGATATGATTTTAACCTCGACGATTACATTGTTGATTGTCATTATAATTTTTCATAATAGGTTGATAGGTTTAAAGTTGCTTACTTTAGGCGTCCAATTCTTTGTGGATTAGTTAATATAAGTTGTGTTTTTTTGTGGATTGGTTAGTATAGTTAATAACAATATGATGTATTGGTTAATATGTGTTTTGTAATGTAGTTTTTTTAATGAATTATGAATGATAATATTATTGGTAGACGGGTTTTTTTTGTCTAAAAAAATTTGTGAGCTTTTACATGTCGACCCCCGAATGGAATATTCCTGAATCCACCACTATTTAAGTCATAATTAAACAATTAAGCGGAGAGTTTATAAGAAATTGTAGCTAACCTTCCTCATAAGCTGAAATGAAACTACACATAATCTTCTTATTTTCAAAGATACCTCATTCCCCTACTGTAATAATACAACAACAAACATACACACATATATAATATATAGAAATTATATATATATATATAATAATCATAGATGAGGCAAAGCAGTGAGGGTTTTTGGGACTAGTTTGCCACGTTGGGAGTTATTGCTGTAGCTTCATTTTCCACTATCCTTGGGCTTGAAGTTGAATCCATTTTCCTGTCAAGGGCTTGTTAAGGACAAGACCAAGGCTTGATACCTTCGTGATCATGACACCACTAGGCGCATTGGAAGTCTGTTGGGACAGACTTACCACAATAATTCAAAAGCAAGCTTAAGGAGACTGGCACATTAAGATTGACGCCCAAAACGTTGGCCTTAATGGCAGTGCAAAGGCAAATAGCAGCATCAAGATCACCAAGACCCGCAATGAGGCTACAACAAGGGGTCTTTCGTGGGGTCCCCACAACAAGGTGCACCAACTCATTCAACAAATCGCCACATACCCCTAGCTTAAGGGTGTCCTTAGGGCAAGAGGCTTGAGGGCTAGGGCTTGGGGTTGGGGTTGGGGTTGGAGGATATTGTGTGTTGGGGTTGGGGTTGGGGCTGGCGTTGGGGTTGGAGTTGGTGTTAGAGGAGATTGTGTTGGGGTTGGCATTGGGATTGGAGTTGGCGTTGGGGTTGGAGGATATTGTGTGGGGGTTGGGGTTAGGGTTGGGGTTAGGGTTGGGGTTGGAGGATATTGTGTTGGGGTTGGGGTTGGGGCTGGCGTTGGGGTTGGAGTTGGTGTTAGAGGAGATTGTGTTGGGGTTGGCATTGGGATTGGAGTTGGCGTTGGGGTTGGAGGATATTGTGTGGGGGTTGGGGTTAGGGTTGGGGTTGGAGGATATTGTATGGGGGTTGGGGTTGGGGTTGGTGTTGGAGGAGATTGTGTTGGGGTTGGCATTGGGATTGGAGTTGGCGTTGGGGTTGGAGGATATTGTGTGGGGGTTGGGGTTAGGGTTGGGGTTGGAGGATATTGTATGGGGGTTGGGGTTGGGGTTGGTGTTGG